AGGCTCCATAAACTCGCGCGTTTTTCAAAACTTGAATTTTTAAACTTACAGGAATACTAAAATTAACATGAGTCAGTAAGTAAGTAAAAACTCTTCAATATTTCCAGAAATTTTTTAAATTTCTTCAACATTTTGCAACAGGCGTCATTCTGTGTCCAGACCTTGTAATTCACTATCATTTATTAAATTTGGAAATATCATTGCAACATCAGAAATAGATTGTATGTAGGGAACCATAAAACATAATTTTATCATATTTATGATCTATATGGCGGGCTTGATTCATTTTATGTTTGAAAAAGAACTCTAAAATACGAGGTGTGCTAAAATAAAATGACTGCTATTACCAACGTACTTTGATCATGAATGGAAATATGTTATATTATTTTAAGTAATCCATGGATTTTTTTAAAACTTTTATTTATTACTTTTCGGTAGAAATTTGGTATCGGTAGATCGGTAGGTTCCTTGACAAATCGGTAGATCTACCGAAAAATCGGTAGACCTGGCATCTAGGCCTAGGCCTGGAGTATGCAATAGTATGTAGTCTGTGTAGCCAGGGGCGGATCCAGCTTTAAAGTCAGGGTGGGGGGGTTATGTAGAAAAATACAATCTTCTGTTGTTTGTGAAATTAGATAAATGATCACCGTTTTGTGCAAGGGTGGCGCAAGATTATTGCAAAATTTCATGTTTTCCGTCCCGTTTTTGCTCATATTTCGGAAGCAAAAGGTACAAGAAAGCTCATTTTTACATCATTTCAGAGAGAACTAAATGGCCTTTTTAGAGAGTGCGCCACCGATAAGAAAATGTTAACAGTTTTTTCAAAAAAGTCTTGGTGTCACAAAGTTTTAGATTTGCGTCTTTTTTTTGAGTGGCAAAATCGACTCAAACATGACGCTGCATTTTTCAAAGTTTCTCAAGAACCATTTGAGCCACAGAGTTCGTTTTGGCCCCGTTGGATAGAGAATTCTTCCCTCATTTCTTCGGAAGAAACCCAATTTCAACCCAGAAATGAATTTTCCCAAAGCTTTGCCGTGAACCTTCAACTGGCAAATCTGTTTCCAGGACGGGAATAAAGTCCCAAGCCTGGATAGCGTATTCGTATAACATGAGGGACGCAATTTGTCTACCAAAAGTCTCTATTAGCCTGTTCGGTTCCTAATTGAATTCCGTGCGAGCACCCCTATCTTTAGCATCTCAAACAAGTGGCTCTGTTGCCAAAATTAGGCGACTTTTTAACTAACTAAACCACATAATTAGGCGACTAAATTTTCATGACAACTGTTATGTTATTACGCAAATTAATATTAGGATTTACTGCACACATATTGAGTAGTTAATTGGCAATATTAATTATCAAACTTAAATAAAAGTAGCCACTGAACGATGCTCGGTCCCGTTTACTTTGTTCGACTCATTTAGAACTCATTTTCCGATTTGAGCGTTAGTTATTGTTGAATTATTGGAAAACGTCCCCAATGTCCATATTAGGGAACCCTTTAGGTGGAAACGTGAATGTAAAATTCCGATTTTTGACTGAAAATTCCATAAGGGGTAGAGGTCGAATTTTTCAAAAATTGACAACTTTTCAAAATGCCCCAAAATCTACATTATTTATTATTAAACGGAAGCGAAGAATGCAGGAAGCTGATTGAACAGCATTCTAGAAGCTTCAGGCCCTAGAAAATCGACATTTTTGATCCAGTTGAAGCTATTTTTGAGCGGTCACGATCTTCAGTCAACGAAATTTTGCTTTTTATGGTCTTGAATACGTTAAATATGCAGATTAAGGAAATCAACAACCTGCGTTGCCTAGAAACCGTCCCTGGTGACGCGCGTTTCCGGAAACACGTAAACCTGATCGACCAATCGCTTGTCGACTCTTTGAATACAAGACGTGCGTCATGGCAAGGAGTAAATACAAATACATCAACTTTCAAATCAGCTGTCAGTAAAGCCGTATTTATTGCAATTGAAGTTTTAAATGAACCGGTTTTTACACGTTCGTATTGGAAAAGTGTCTTACTTGTTGGAAATGTCTCTCGACGGATTAAAGGACCCGAAAATGTGACTAAACTAGAAAATTAGCGATTGTAAAGAGGAAGTAAAATAAAAGAGTTTGTTTAGTGTTGTAATGTGGCTCAGTGGTTGGATCGACAGGTTAACAACCTGAAGGTGCGAGGTTCAAATCCCCAGCCGTGCCACCCTTTTTGTTTTCCCACTGGCTTCATATGGGCTCAGCAAGCTTCCTTCGCTTCAACCCCAGCATTTTTTGTTTGTTTTTTTAAGCGATGTGGAAGATGCTAATGCTTGTTTAGTTTGGGTTTGTGTTTTTTTTGGAATGTGGAATTTGCGCATGCTTTGGTTTGTAAGTGTTTTCTTTTTTTTGCAAGTGTGACTTTTTATTTTTTTGGAATGTGGAAGAGGCGAATTGTTGGGTTTATTTGGGATAGTAAGCGTTTCCCTTTTTTTTTCGGTTAGTAACAATTTTTTGCTTTTTTTTGGGTTTGTAGGTGTTTTTTCTGTTTTTTATGGGCTGGTTTGTTACAAGATTTAAATGAAATATCGTATCTTTGCAAACATTCAAATACATTACTTTTTCATTTCTATTACGATTTGTATGAGTTAAAAATACTCTTCCACTAGTCACACACAAAGGCGCCATTTTAAATTTGGGGTCTAGGTATAAAAGTAGTTTTTTCCTGGTCAAACCTGCCAACGAAGAAAAGTGGCCTTCGATTAGAAATGCCCAATCGTGGTAAATGGCAACGTTGGACTTGTCTTTTGTTTAACTGTTCCGAGATGGACCAGACGACTTGTCCGAATTTTAATTTCTGCGCTTTAAAGACGTGTGTTTGGCCGGGCACATTCTGGATTCTGGCAAAAAAGAGCATTTTTTCAAAAAATATTTCAAATAAAACGTGTTGGAAATAGGAAAAACCACAATATGAGTAGTTTTGCAATTTTTTTAATCATTCTCGTTAGCCGAAATCCGCCGAATAGATCCCGGCATAAAAAAACACAGTTTCATATAAAAAGTGTGTCTGAAAAAATATGTGTAGAATGGGAAAAGCTATGATTTGATAGTACTTTTATATTTTTCACTCCATCGAGAGCCAAAAATCGCAAATCTTAACATTGAGCCACGAAGTTTTTCCTCGATCTGGTGCCTGAGGAAGTGGGAAAGAACCCAACAAGGGTGATTTCAAGTGGCTGGCGTTTACTTTTTCTGAATTTTTTTTGAATCAACTGAATGCAAGCCAACTGAGCGAGCTGGCAACGTGGCTCAGTGGTAGGACCGACGGATTAACAATCGGGAAACCGTGCCACATGGAAATAAACTTTATTTATTTCTTGTTTTTTTTGCAATGTGGAAGAAGCGAATGATTGGATTAGTTTGGGTTAGTAAGTGTTTTTCTGTTTTTTTTTTAATTTTTTTCACGATCTTTAGTCGACGATATTTTGCTTTTTATGGATGATACTTTAAAAGTGCATATTAAGGAACCTTTTAGGTGGAAAACAATAATTTGAAGTAAAAAAACGTGAATGTGAAATTTCGATTTTTGATTGAAAATTTCATAAGGGGTCGATTTTTTCAAAAATTATCAACTTTTTCAAAATGCCCCAAATTCTACATGATTTTCATTAAACGGAAGCGAAGAATGCAGGAAGCTGACTGAAAAACACTCTAGAAGTTTCAGGCTCCAGAAACGCAACATTTTCGATCCATTTTCGATCAAGAAGGAATTCGTTTGCATCAGCAGCATTAATCAGTCAAGGATTTCTTGTCAGGTTTTCAGAGCTATTGCTTAAAAATCCTGATTTTAGTTTTTTGGGTCGTTTTCTGGCGATCTTCCGAAATTTTGTGCTCAGGTTTTGCGACAAAACTGCTCGTTTGCACCCGAGAATCGCGAATCTGAGCTGATCGAGCATCGAAAGCTGAGGTTTATGATTTATTTTAAGGAATTCCAGATCTTTGGGTAACCATATAAGCAGAGTGGAGGTTTGGACAAGGGCAAAATAACTTTTTCAAAGAGTTTGGAGGAAACATAAACATGGCTGGGATGAAAATTGCTGTCTGATTTTTCAGTGCGCTTGGAAAATTTGAGGAAGTGTTGCCAATTTTTCAAAAAATAGTGGACTAAGTAGGAGTCAATGATAGGAGATTGTTAAGAAAGCGTTAAATTCTTAATTGTGGTGGTTGTTCAAGCCGTTCACCCGTAAATTGCTTGAAGCAAAGACATCAAGCCACTCCAGCCACACTGTGACTTTTTGCTTATAAAATTGGAAAACCTGATTTTYCCTTTGTATTTCAACGGTAAAAATGTTTTCGCGCGTTGCAACATGACCTCAATTATACAGGATGTTAATGTTTTCAGACCATCAGCTGCAAAGACATGATTAACATCGCGATTCAAAAGTAGCTTCATAACAACATGAGTGAAGAAATTGGGGCAGTTTTGACCCAGAAAGCGAAATTTCAATATCAGACATTTAGGTGCAAGATTAGCCCAAAATTTGATGTTTTCCGTCTCGTTTTTGCTCATTTCTCGGAAGCAAAAGGTGCAAGAACACTCATTTTTACATCATTTCAGAGAGAACTAAATGGTCTTTTTAGAGAGTGCGCAATCGAGAAGGAAATGTTAGCAGTTTTTTCAAAAAAGTCTTGGTTTCACGACGTTTTAGATTTGTGTCTTGTTTTTGAGTGGCAAAATCGATTCAAAGTTGACGCTGCTTTTTCCGGAGTTTCTCAGGCCTCATTTGAGCCACAGAGTTCGTTTTGTCATCGTTGGATAGAGAATTGAAAACTCGATTCAGTCATGACAAGATGAGTGAAGAAATTCCAGTAGTTTTAACCCAGAAAGCGAAATTTGAATATCCGACTCGTCTTTATCTATGATTACACCGCCACCTCTCTTATTTTACTTTCTCTATGAACAGAATATCCCCCAAGAACAGGACGTTTATTTTCATGTGTTTACGCGAGAGAACTCCCGGGGAATGTATGTATTGCCGATTGCCTAAAATCGGTGAGAAGCAAATTCGATATTCACAAGCGATATTAATAAATGTATTTCTGTATCACAGATTATCAAACTCTTGATTCAGTTAGTTCTGTGTTTGCGCATGATAGTTAGACTCACACATGTGAAGTGCCACTCGCCTGGTCTAGAGCAGGTGAATTTGCTCTCACCGATTTTAGGCAATTGGCAATACAAAAATTTCCCGGGTGTGCTCTCGCGTAAACGCATGAAAATAAACGCCCAGCCGGGTCAATGCGCAAAGGAAGAGGAAATTTTACGCCATTGATGACATTTCTTTTACGCTGTCGATATGTCAAAACTAAAAGTGTATTTTTATTTTTCACGTAAATCCCGAATTTTGTAGCGGCAGACTTAATGGTGGTATAGTGGCGATGTCTAGTACTCAACAGAGAATCGACGGACTTTTGGACAAACTTAATAAGGATAATTGCCCAAGAAGCCCACCTATGAACCCCAAGCCAGGCTTGCCCCCTTCTAGGGCGTCTCTAGGACGTACGTAAATCGCAGATTCGCAAATAGCGATTTATGATCGCGAATGGGATTTTTACATGCACATCGGATGTAAATAATTGAGCATAGTTCTGCTCTATATTTACTTAACACGATGAGGAGCCCGTTTCAGTTTTGCCCTCAACTTTATCCGAACTTTCGAAATAGTACTTAGTAGTTGAAGCAACTTATTAGCCGCTTTTCACTTTGCTCATACTGTTGATTTAGCACAAATCGTCGCTTGATTGTTAGCAGGCGCTATATGCCTACGGTATAATTTAAAATTTCAATTATTTGTATCGAAGGAGACACAGACAAATTCTTGTTGGACTTGGTTAGTAAAAAACTACAGAAAATAATGATTTTCTTTTGTGGACGTGAGTAGATCCACAACGTATAACAATTGGCAGCTGAAGAATAGGAATATTGAAACTCGTTTCTCTTACGAGCATGGGAAAATCGACCGAGAGAATGTCCAATAAATTATATCTATCATTTTCAGTTGGGGGCCTTAACAGCAAAAGAAACAGTCCTATCACGACGCGGCCGAGTGATTTGCCCCCTTTCGAACCACGGAGGACTGACAACGCAGATACCGAAAGAAAACTTAGAGAAATTATGAAAATCAGCGGTGATCTGAAGATTGACGGGGTGCTCTTCAAGACCAGCGTCCAAGACATGGAGCACATTGAGGAACTAGGCAATGGTACTTGCGGTCACGTGGTCAAAATGCAGCATAAACCCAGCGGCAAAATAATTGCAGTGAAGGTAATTGTTCGCATTTTAGTGCGAAGGCTAAAGTAGGTAACCACGAGTTTTATCAGCAAATGAGGAGGTCTGGCAATAGCGATGAGACCAAGCGCATCATCATGGACATTGAAGTAGTTTTAAAGTCCGACTGCAAATTTATCGTTAAGTGCCTTGGATGCTTTATAACCGAGTCAGAGGTCTGGATCTGTATGGAGTTGATGGACACTTGTTTTGATAAGCTGCTGAAGCGCCTAAAGCATCCGGTTCCGGAGGATGTTCTAGGCAAAGTCAGCGTCGCGGTAAGTGTAGTCGCCAGATCGATTGGAAGTAATACATCAAGTGGCATATTTTATTTAGACTATTGAAGCATTGTCTTACTTGAAAGACTATCACAAAGTGATCCACAGAGACGTAAAGCCATCAAATATTCTCTTGGACACCAAAGGCAATGTAAAGCTCTGCGATTTTGGCATTAGCGGTCGGTTGGTGGACTCGATGGCGAACTCTCGAAATGCCGGCTGTGCGGCTTACATGGCGGTAAGACGTTTTGTGAGTTTGAATTGGAAATCCAGCGTGGCTCTTGCTCTATTTACAGCCCGAACGTATCGAGCCGGATCCGCAAAATCCAGATTATGATGTGCGTGCTGATGTGTGGTCGTTGGGCATAACACTGGTAGAATTGGCCACCGGCGTTTTTCCCTACCAAGACTGCAAGACTGACTTCGAAGTACTCACCAAAGTGATAGGGACTGATCCGCCTTCTTTGCCACATGATCAACATTTTTCGCCAGAATTTCGTGATTTTGTTGCGGGTTGGTACGTGCAATTTTATTTTAAGTTCTTAATTGTGTTAGGGCCCATACGTCTGCATTGATGCTTCACATTCGAGCCTCCATAATTAGACACATATATGGACTATGTTTTTGTTCACATTTAGGAATGTTTTCCGGGCTTTGAAGCCGTGGTCTATGGGAATTTCTTTCTCACGTTTCGTCCACAACTGCGGTGCACATTATCAAAGGATCCCGTTTGTCCTTGGCCGATCTCAAAGTCTGTTGGATGGTTCGAGTTGGTTTAAAAATGGTTTTTACT